AGTCTAGAGGGGATGTTTGTGCAGTTACAAACTGGTTCAGCCTAGCCTGGTTAGACTAACCTGCAAAGATGGAATTAATTCAGGCTCAGGCTTTTTGAATGTCTGTCCTTAGCGAAAGGAACCAGAAATTCTTGGTTAAGTTTCTCCACCTAACTCCGAGATGAATGTTTGTGTTACAGTAAAAGTTCATATTTCCAAAAGCTAGAAAAGGCAGAGTCAGCTCACAACACAGCCATACCCTTAACTCTGCCCCTGAATGGACAGCTAGCATGGGGAACATTAGAGTACCTTACCTACCCTTAATAAAAGCAACCCATCATTTTTTCTGGGCCACTGTGACATGAAATTTGCTGTAGAGACAGGGCACTCTTACCCATGTCCAGTGCAATCATTTTGGCTGACCTTCTCTTTCCAGCTCTGAGTGGGATGACCTGAAAGAGTACATTGCCTCATGTGCTGGTAGCATGTTCTCCTGACACTCCAGGTGTAGCTACACCATGGTGGCAGTGTACCTAGGCAGGGATACTCCCAAGCGCACCCTGCCACTCAGTCTAGCTCCTATGCACCAAACCCAGAAATGCTGTGGTGAGGCTGCTCCGAGGATGTCCCTCTGAGGTTGCTCTCAAGACTTTGGTCTTCCCTGTAAATGACAGCAGCTGTTGGAAACAAGTCTGGAGAGGCCTAACCAGTACCTATCCAGGATTGGAGCACAGTTAGGAATAGGTGGATGGGGCATCCCAGCCAGGACATGCTACCACCTCTGTGTATGCCCTATTGAGCTGCAGTGGGCAATGTGGCCAGAGCTGCCCAGAATGCATTGCCACAAAGTTAGGCAACATAGTCCTGCAGCTGATGGGAAAACATGCTTGTGTTGTTCCAAAACCTGCACTCATTCCCCTCCCCATACTCCTCAGCCACATTTGTGATAACTGGATCAGATGAACTGGTCACAACCTTGTTGCAAAAAAAAAAAATAGTCCTGCTCGAAGGGTAGAGGGCTAACACAAAGCAGTCACCTGTGGTGTGTGAGATCAAGTGTCACGTGCTGGCTTATGCAGTTCAGTTAAAATGGGATTTGAGGTAGGGACAAGGCAGCAAAGCTTAGTGCATCTGCAGTGACCAATGCTTCTGACAGGTGCATTTATAGTGCAGTAACCTGAGTGGGTATAAATACTGTCAACCTCATTATCTGAATTAAGGTAATCCCCAGATGGCTTGGCATTGGTGCACACTGTGATTTTCCAGGCAGCATACACCATCTGCAGCAGCTGAGTTTGGGGCTGCTGCCCAGCTACTGAACACTTTGGGTTTCTCAGCCATTACAGAGAAAGATTAAGTGGGAGAGGAGACAAGTTTACAACTTGCTTTAGAAGCTCATGCTTACATTTCCCCCAGGAACATCCACCATCACCATCACTAGCAACTATATACAGCCAGTTTTATTCCATCACAGGCCTGCTGAGATGCACTCCTTGCCAGGCTACTTGGCAGCTGTTGGCCCACACTGAGAAAGTAGAGCCTTTGCTCTGTAGCCATACTGTTGCCACAAACATTGACCCCAATTTATTGTATTCTAGCGACACTGCAGAGTGCCAGATGGGCACACTGTTATTTCTAAACTAGTCATGCTCAAAAACAGGCCAGGGACAATAAGTACACAGAGAAAGAAAGTTCTGGACTGAGAATGCATTCCTAGACCAGAGTCAGGACAACTACTCCCAACATTGACAAGACATCCCACATTAGCCTTTAATTGATTTTCATGTTATATCATTCTTTCTTTAGGTTGTTACATAATTTTTGCTAGTTTGCTGCAACTTCTCTTACCTTTACAATGATCAGACCATGGCGAAGCAGTTCTTGGACATGGTATTCCACTTTCACAGTGACTTTCTAGGCAACGTTTTTACCTTTCTTAAAGGTGTTAGAACCAGTTCCTTTATTAGGTGTCCTTGCTCAAAGTTTCATTCATGAAAGATTAGAAAATACAGGTAACTGCAGGTACTGGGATAAGAAAGTTAACAGAACCTGAAACCAGGGAAAAATCAATTTGGTCTTAGGAGACCATGGTTCTCTTCCTAGCTCTGCACTGACCTTCTCTGTAACCTCTTTTCTAACAGTTACTGGAGCCATCCCTTCTGAAAGGCCTCCTGGTTAGCAGCACCTGATCATATAACTTCCTGAGTGCCTGATTAGACTTTCAATCCTCAAGGGCAGGTAATAAAGTAAAGCTGACCACCTGTGTGAGGTCTGAGCAGGGCATTAACTCTAAAAATCAGATAGGGCCTGTGCTCCCTGTCCCAGTCTCAGTCATGCAGCACACAGGTTTATAGCTTGTGGCAACAAAAGACCAATTTAGGACAGAAAGCATTATTGATGGCTATATCCGAAACACAGGTTCTGAACATTAATCCCTTGCTGCAGAGGTTTTTAGTAACTCAAATGTCAATACCACAGGCTGAAAAATCCGACTCTATGTTTGAGGACTCTTGCATCAATTGTCAGTAAAACATTCACAGGAACTAACAGAGAGAGACTCCACACATTTATTACTTAGCACCAGTTTACTAACACTACAGAATTAATGGTGCTAGCAAGAAAGGAGTTCACATATGTTTGGAACAACTGCATCAAACTAAATGCAGTTTAGAACCATGTTTTCCCTTTAACTTAGGTGCAAAATATTGAGATGCTAGGCACTGTACAATGTACAGAGATCATAAACTATCCAATTGTTGTTCAAGGTTACAAGTCATTTACATGCCACACACTAAGGTGTTCAAACTTCACTGAACAAAGGCTACAGTCTACCATGGCACAACTGCAAAGAGAATATTACAAAAACATGGACTTCTGTCCTGCTGAATGGATCCATAGCTCATCTATGCAACCCCAAGTTCCCGCTGATGTTAGCCCTGCCCTGCTATTCACACATGAGTACGCTGCCTTGCTGCAGGTACACAAGGCACTGATCTTGCAGGCTGTCCTGTGTGGGCACATCTCTGGGACTTGGGCAAAAAGAGTCCCACATTGTCTTCTATGGGGCTTTGTGTGGGTGGAAGGGCCTAACTGACCTGACCTGTAGGCCAGGCAGGCACCCCACTGTGAAATGTTAGGAGTAGGGACTATCTCCTACTGTGTGCACAGCCCAAAGGATTCCTGATTCTGACTAAGGCCACTCGGTGTAAACACTGCATAAATGATCAGGGGCATTTTCAAATGTCTGCTCTTCCACTGTGAAATGTATCACAGAGAAACAGTTAAAAGGGGCTCAAGCCATTTCAACAATTCGCAGCACAGACCAGATATGTCTTAAGATGTGACGTGGTGACTCACTGGCATGAGCTAGCAGGTTCAGTGAAATCCAAAGGAACAAAACCCTGCTCCAAGCACCTGCTAATGCTCTTGCAGACACAAGGGTCACTGCGCTGTGACCCAAGAGAGGGAATACTGAACTTGCAGACATCAAGAATCAAGCACAGTAGCTGAAAGTGCCCGGCTGAGGCCACTGACACCGTGCAGCAGCTGTGTGAAGCTTCTGAGACACAAGGTCACTTGTAGCAAGTAGAACCCGTGATCTCACTGGAGTTACAGCCCCGGAGCAGGTCCAACTGTGGAAGAAGAAGCACGTGGAAGGATGGAAGTAATGTTCCAAGCTCCAAAATCTGGTCAGAGTTAATCAGAAAGTTAACGTGGCAGGTCCCTCTAATTAAAAAAAAAGACCTGCAGACCTTTTGTCACACAACAGATTTGCAGATAAGGGCTGCCCACCCCAGTGGACTGGGGATCAAGAGCCCTGGATTGCTTCTAGTGTTGCTCCCAATTTTCTGTGCTGGGCAGATCATGTCACACCTCTGTATCTGTTTCCTCTCTAACTCATTGTCTAGATCAGGGGTTCCCAACTTTTTGCCCCTTAAGGGCCATTTCAAAGAGTCAGTCCTGGGTGATGGGCTATGCACTGGGAATCTCTGGTCTAGTCTAGTTGCCACGGACAGGCTCAAGTTCCCTGGGCTCCAAGGTGCCAATGAGTACCATGCATGGAAGAATCTCATTGGTCCTTTTAGTGCTCCTGGATCTCTGTTGTGGCCACAAGGAAAAGTAATATTAAAACCCAGGTGAGACTACTCACAGAAAAGGGTAAAGACAACGAGCTCCAATACCTGCACCAGAGCAGGGAGCAGGTAACCCTGCCTACAATGTCATTTTAAAGTTTTTTGCTCTCCAGAGAGACCCAGTTCTGCACAGGGCTGAAATTAATTCTTGTGCCAAGGGCAGTGAACTAGTTAAGTCCCCCTTAAACCTGAAACCTTGTTGTACTGGCACCTGCCAGGAACGACTCCCGCCCAGAGCCTGGACAGATGACACATTTACACTAGCATGAGTTACCAGAGTTATGTACTCAATGTAAATTACCCTGACATCTGGAGCAGACAGATATGTAACCCTCATGAGGTAGTTTCATAAGGCAGGCAGCCACTATAGTCACTTGCCACTAGGCGGTGGGTGGGCAGATAATACCATATTTTCTCACCGGCAACATGCCCTGGAATATGATCCACACCTTGCTTTTGAAAGGCAGAAATGAAGAACAAAATCTTTCCTTCCAGTGAGTAACTGAGTAGCAGCAGCTAGGGAGCTAAGCCTGTCTATCATGCTGCTCCCTGTGGATCATGTGCATGCTTTATTTCCAGTTTACTCCAGTAAGTGGCAGAAATGGCTCTTACCATATTTCTTGGATACATTATACACTCCAATTTGGAGCAGGTGGGTTTTTTTTGAAAAAATGTATATGTGGTATATGAGAAAATGCTGTGAGCAAACAGCTACTACAGGATCAGCTGTGGACAGATGACATCTACACTGCTATGACTAACACCAGTGAAGTCTGAGCTCTTATTTGTCCTGGGCAACAATACCCATGATTCTAGCAAGTTACATTGTATAACACTATATGTCATGAGTCTGCTCCTTTTTTCACTCTGGTGTAAAGAATCACAGAATCATAGAAGTCGGGTTGGAAGGGACCTTGTAGAT